GAGGAGACCCACCAGGAAAGCTTGGAGAAACATCACTAAAGCGTGAGGAAATCAAATCTGAAAAATAGCACACAACGCATTGACAGGCTTACCTTTTCCTGAAGCACAGGCACTGAGGCAACGCTCAGTAAACGACGACACCTGAACCTAGCTATGCAGACACCTGCATTTGTAGTCCGAGGGCACTGAGCTTCTCAAGAATTTACCTCAAACGAGTAATTAAACTATTTGTACGACAAGGATCAGACACAGGCCTGAATCAGGCCCCCAAACTAGGATTATTTTCCCAGCCAAGGAGCCATGTTTAAGTGAACATGGCCAGGTGGGGGGGGGGGTGGGGGGGAATGGTATGTTTTTTGTTTGAAAAACAAAACAGAACAAACACAAACCCAAGCTATTTTGCAGCGCATATCCAAGAGGAGAAGAACCTGTGCAACGGGAAGCCGGCGGACGGCATGGTCGCTCTGCAAAACGGCACCTTGGCTGTTTTCCGAGGTAAGCGGCCTCCCGGCCACCTGGGCCCCTTCCCCCCGGCGGTGCCCAGCCCTCACCCGGCCGAGTCGACGGCTGGGGCATCCCGTCCCCCATCGACACCGTCTTCTCCAGGTGCAACTGCGACGGCAAAACCTTCTTCATCAAGGTGGGGAGCGCCTGCTGGCCGCTGCCGGGCTTTGCGGGTGTTAGCAGGGCTCACCGGTGCTTCCCCTTCACCCAACCGCAGGCTAAATTTGTTCCTAATTAGAAACACTGTGTCTGTCATTTCCCAATTAATCTCGCAGTCCTGGACTTCTCCTGCAGCTTTTCCTGCCTGCTAAAATCTGTAGATTTAGGCAGCAAACGGCTTTGGTTAGTAGCAGCTCTCAAAGTTCATCTCTCCCTAAGATGGTATTCGCCTACTCAAAGACAGCGGTAAAGATTACGGACGACACAATACCGGGTATTTAGGAAGAAGAAGTCGTAATAATTTTCAGTTCTTACGTACGTGAACGGTTGCAGTCAGCTTTACGCTGCAGTTACCAAAACGCGAGCGTCACGATTATTTGTCGCGTCTGTGTCGAAGCTCAGCCGCCAGCAAGGAGTTTCGTCTGAAGCTCAGCTTGTGCTTGAATCACCAGGGTTCCCTCTACTGGCGGTTCACCAACGGCGTCATGGATAAAGGCTACCCCAAACCTCTCGCCCGAGGATTCGCCGGCCTCGGCGGCAAAATAGTAGCAGCCCTCCCCGTGGCGAGATACAACAACAGACCGGAGTCGGTGTATTTTATCAAAAAAGGTAGGTCGCCCATTTCAAAAGTTCACGTAGCGATCAACAGGCGCTTGAACTACACCAGAGAGGGAGAAAAACTGACAATGGAGCATGCTAAGTGACCAAAAGAGGCACTAAAAATTGCAATGAGTACTTAACTTTACCTGCTTTTCAGAATAGACAGGACTGCAAGGGACAGGCTCCAGCAGGTGAGCAGACAAACGTCAGAGTAAATAAATCTCACCCTCCCTTTGACAGACAGGAGGGCTGGCAGTAGAAAGCTTACTGATAAAGGCAGTTCCCCTGGAATTGTGCTTACTACATTAACTTCAAATGAGACTGCAGAAATTATTGTACTTCTAGAAGCGCTTGCTGGAGCAAGGCTTTTAGACTTCAACATGTAGGAATGGATACAGAAAGCTGCCACAGCATTTAGACATCTGTCTAGACATCTGAGCATTAAAATGATGCTCGTCTTCTTGCCTGTGACGTGGCTCCTGATGACGTTTTCATTTCTGATTTTTTTTTTTGTTTTTTAAGGTGGCAAAATACAACAATACGTGTACAAACAAGAACCAGCCAAGAAGTGCAAAAATAGAGCCCAAGTTACCATAAAATACCCAGCTTTTGTCCCAAGACTTGTAATAAGGAGACGCTTTCAACGTGCATTAAGATTGCAGACTTTTCAGACTGTCAGAATCAATCCATATCCATCCGGTAAGTTACGTTTATTAAGTTTCTTTTATACAACTGTTTGAATCTTAGTGGTCTCTGAAACACAACAGTCTGTTCCATTCTTTAATGTAGTACTTCAAAATTTTTCAGTCTTATAGTTCTCTCTTGCTATAAATCATACAAGCAAATGATAGCTTACAGCAGACACGCTCTGACACCTCCTAATCTAGTTTTCTTTTCCTTGCAGAAGTTTTACGTAAGGAAGTTAAAATCACTGCCTACTGGAGAGGACTCCCGAAAATAATTCATTCAACCATATCAGTACCAAACTACAATAAACCAGATGGCTATGATTATTATGCCTTCTCCAGCAGTAAGTTGAAGCTAATGCAAGCTACTATAGCTCAAAAGACTAAAGGTTTGGGGAAGAAAGCAGCTCATATATCTCTGAGCTTTTTCAAGTGAGCAGCTACCACTTGTAATTCCGCAACACTAATCTCAAACAAGAACTATAAAGGAGCAACGAGAACTAATATGTTGCCTGTAATCGAGAGATGTTTCTATTACAAATCAGTCATTAAAGGATGGCTAGTAGCACTGAGGTACAGCGACTCAAACTAGCCAGTTGTGGAATGCATTGTCATAACCATTAAGGCTTACAGAAAAAAGGCTTTATGGGGGG